CCGACAAAAACTGAGCGTGAATTTACAGATTGATGTACTAATATTTTTAAGCACTGGACAAAAAAAGCGCGATCGCGCCGCACAAAGGTTAATATGTGATAAGATATTAAAAACGTTAAATATAGATAAGCTCAAAATGCATGCATGAAAAATGACGCTCTAAACTTGTTTAATTTAAGGGTGAAATCACACTGTACGGAATAGAGCGTGCGGAATAGAAAGTGCGTCATAGAGCAAATCAGCGCTATTCCATACGTTTCTGTGCTTTTTCATGTCGTCTGCGAGTGCACAGATTTGAAATACGTCGTGAGGATCATTTTAAAACGGAAAGAAAAGTTTATTGTTAAAATAAATAGACATGGATAGTAATATTAACAGCATGAGTGAACAACAATCTAGTATAAATGAGTAAAAAATGTCCAGTATTTAAAAAAAAATTGCGAATTTTTGTAGATTTAATAACATTTCTTGTATTCTGTGTTACAGTATTATCAATGCACTGTAATTTCAAGTTACCGAAAACAAATTTTAATCTGGTAGAACATTCATGTTTTGTTAATTTATCATTTGTCTTAATTTTATGATGATGCAGCATCGGACTTCTGAAATATATTTTCAATTAAATACTTCATCGTTTCACGTACTATAAACTTCTTATTCATTATTTTGTTGAAAGTTTATAATTAAAAATATAAAACGAGACAGATGCTCCAAAATCAAAATCCGTTAGTAGATGCTAAGAAACATACATAAACACGCATTCCGCATCACGCACGATTTCAGTGTGCTCTGTTCACATAGTGCGTTATAGAAGGTTTTTTGACGTATCCAATACAGATATAATTTAGAAAATAAAATTTATTTTTGTTTTGATTGTTTTTATGACATATTATGTCTCAAATTGTATAAAAGATTATTTTCGTTACAATAGTTTATGTATTCTAATTAATTTTTTCAATTTTTAAAACATTTCAAATTTTTTTCAGTTTTTTAAGTCATTTTTACGTACCATGTGAACAGAGCACACCAAAGCGTGCGTAATGCGTAATGCGGAATAACGCTGATTATGGCTGGTCTATGGCCGGTATTCATAGTCCGTTCTTATATTTAAGATTGTTTTAAGTTTATCTTTAGATATTATATGTATTATTTTATTGGCTACAGATTATCTAAAGATGAATTTAAGATGATTTTAAATATAAGATCGGACTATGAATACCGGCCTATGACGCACTTTCTATTCCCCACGCTCTATTCCGTACCGTGTGATTTCACCTTAAGACAACACAAGATATAATAATAATAATAATATTAATAATAATAATAATAATAATAATAATAATATAATAATAATATAATTTATATAATTATGTAATTGCATAACTTTACGGAATGCATGCTGCATTTATTTGTTACACTTATTGTTTTACGTAGAAAAAGAATTAGTATCTTATATCACGAATCGTAGTTATTATTTTTCAATGGCTTGATGTTTGCAAAAGAAATTAGAAATTTAAACAAATTTAAATTTGTTGGGAAACTGTAGGTTGGTAATAATACTCACAATTATTAACATAATTATTAACACGCGTATTTTATTATTAGGCACTGTCTGAATTAATTATAAATATATAAACGTGAATGAACAAAGGCTATAGCGTGCACTCGCGTGACTTGTCGCAGAAAGAAAAAGAACAGAAAGTATAGAAAGTAACTAGATTGGTAACAACAATAAAAAATCAGTCTTTTCTCTAGCATGATATAATCTAAGGCAGTGCTGGGATTTACTTGTAACTTTCGGCCGAATTTCTTAGCTTATGCCTATCAGAGAGAAGTCTGAGAGGGGCCACGCTGCCATTTTTGAGGAAACGCTTTCCCTATGTCGTACACTAGCGGTACATCTATTTTACGGTGCCTGGAAACTACATGGCCACATCCACTTTTGGTACCGATAAAACAGTCGATTTTGATTCATGTCCATGCTATATCCACAATTTATAGACCATAAATACGTCTCGCATATAGACGTAATTAATTATATACTTCGTTAGCGCGATTTCTTTTTTCCATTCAAGCATATATTATAAATATCAATATATGCTATTAATAAAATAAATTTATGTAATATACATTGTTTAGAATATTTTATTTTCGTGATAAGAAATAGAAAAAAGAGAGATAAAACTTATATAAAATTCAGTAAATTGAATTTTATTTGTTGAAAAACAGTCCTAGGAAAAAGATAATTATAGACCATTTCCAAGATGATGAAATATCACACGTTTTGAACATTACATTTGATACGCAACATATATATAACTCTTTTAAAATATATATAATATTAAATATATGGAAACTACATTTTTTTATATTTCTTAATAGTGTCCCAGATAGCAAAATGCTAGCAGTATGCCAGCAGTATAACAACAGATTCAATCATGAATTTGCAGCAGATATCACTCAGCTGTGCCCTCATTAAGTTTCTTTTTTCCCAACACGATGTGCCAATATGATATGATGGCAGAAATGCAGCAGAAATGAAACACAGTGTGCTGTTATGATATGACAGCAGAAATCGAGCAGGCTCTGCGCGTGCAACTTGATGACAAATTGACAGCAGAAACTTCACAAGATTTGCGCTTACTTTTAAATTAATGTTATATAAATGCAACAAAATGGATTATTATAGGTGCTAAATAACAATATTATTGGCAAGTTAATTAGAATTTTCTTAGAAAATGATATATATGTAATATGTTATATCGTAGTTATATCTCATATAACGAAGAACTAATTCAATTTAATTAAATTAATAATAAAGTAAACGATAAAAGTAAATGTAACTTGTAAAACTTGAGATGTAATTTATTTAGAATTAAATTCTTGCTTTATGCCTCAAATAGGCAGTACATGAATAATTTTCAATTTATCATATTGATTCCAATCAGTTTAATATTCTGACTCTCATTTGCTTGTATCAGATATCAGAAATTAAAGTGATAGAAATTAAAATCACGCAACTACTGGCGCTAATATCAAATTATTCTAAGTGCAAGAATATATAGCTTAGATTTCTTTATATTATTCCTGTTTTCAGATTATAAAGACAATCTTATTTAATTCGAGAGAGAAGAATAAGAATTATTGTTTTAGTTTTAAAATTGTTTTATTTTTATACTACATAAGATTGTGACCGGATTAAATGTGTCAAGAATATTTTTCGTCTTGTTATCAGAAATCCTTTCTGAAAGGGTAGGTAATCAATCATACATCAACATTAATCTTATAATAAATAATTTGCAAAAAACAGTAATTAATTAATCGACATTTTTGTATCCCATTCTGTGCAAATAAATTATATAGTTATAAATGACTTATTTGATGAATTCTTGAAGTCTTTAAAGAGAAAAAAGGATATATATATGTATATATATATATATATATATATATATATATATATATATAATCTTGAATTATATATTTGATCCATTAACTTCATAACTTATATGTATATCAGTTATATATATTTCAAGATTTATATATATATATATCCATTTTTATTATTATTCAAGCAAATATTTATTAAATTCATAATTGAATTATTTGTCATATGTTATTATTTTATTACTAATTGTTATATAATTATTATTATATATATAGAAAGTAGTATTATACATTTAAATAAAACTATGAAGGGTTAATAATAAATAAAATTAATGCACATAGTATGTAAAAATACGTATTTTATTTTGAAAGATTCATATGTAACAATAGTGTATGTACTCTATTATAATATTATATCCATTACGAAATGATATAAAATGCCAAAATCAATTTAATTTAACGAGCACATCTTTGTGTAGAATTAGTCGGAAAACATTTTAAATATATGTTTTAATAAATTTAAGATACTGCGCTGTTGAAAGTTAAGGCACAATTTTAGAAATATAAATTATGCAAAAATTCATATTGATGACATGCGAATTTTGCCGCTTAGCGAATAGAAAAGATTTAATTTTTTGTCTTATCGAAAACTAAGCAGATAATTAAAAAACTGATGAAGAAGTACACAATAAAATATAACAAGGAAAGATTTTCTAAATGTTTTGATAGAATTTTTACTTCGACTTAGGATACAATCGTATGTTGTCCTTTTGAAAAATTAAAATTTTAATTCTAAAATTTTATTCTACATTTTCTTTTTTATTTACTCAAGTAAAACTTGTACATTCACCTTCTCTTTTGATCATTTTTGTCTACATATATGTATTGTCTCTTTCTTATATGTATATATAAAATTTTTATAATTTTTATACATTTATATATTTTTATACATTTATATATTATATAAAATGTAAAATATACTGTTACATATATTTATACTTATAATGTGTGTTATCTCATACACATATCCTATTAATTATTATACTATCTAATTTTACTATATTATATTATGCAATAATACTTATACTATATAATAATATTTAATTATATTATATAGTATAATAAATATTATTAATAAATATTATTATTTTGTTTTATATCATATAATAATGAAGAAACTCGTCAAAGTGTACAGTTTGTAAAACAGTCTTCTTACACTAACGCAATGAAAATTGCTTCGTTCTATGTATAACTTTCAATTATAATTCACTTTTAATATGAGTGATATGATAGTAAACAAAATTATTCAGCTTAATGATATTATAATTCTAGGAGGACGATATAAACTTAATTGTTTTAAAACTTAAAGAAGTTATGAAATTTTATCGAATCATTAAAACTATAATTACATTAATATAAATATATGTTATATATTACTCTTTGTTTGATGAATGTTTTTGTAGATTTAAAAAAAAAATAAAAATATGTACAGTCTTCGAATACGTTTAAGTATCTTGTTAATTTTGTTATGAACAATTCTTACGATAATTATATTAGTTACGTAAGAATAATATTTAGTACCAATTTTTAATCCAGGAAAAAATCGAAAATGTTCCACTAAATATACATAATTGCACGTTATGTACATTTTTAATATGTATATTTTAAACAAGTGCTAGAGAAAGTAATAAATATTTATTTTGTCAAAGCAAATCCCATTCGGTTATTCTCCATATCAAACTCGGTATAATATTTGCCGATAAATGCATCGCCAAGAATCCAATCGAGTGTTCTCAAATTACGTCCCAAAAATCCGCTTGCGCATATTGTATTTTTCTTGTGATCTAAATACTGTGCAGAATTATATATACAATGTAAATTTTCTATATCTATTAAATAATTTAAACAAATTTATCTATATTATACTCACCCGAACGATGTAATCATTAGCGGTAAGATCGAATGCCTTACCACCCAAAATAAAACGGATTGTAGGTAACTCAAAAATTCGATAACATTCCACCTTTAAGTAAAAGATAAAATCGAATTAATAATTAATAATATTTAATAAATATATTAACTTCGTTCATTCGAAACGTAGATTAATGGTCTCATTGTTCCAGAAGTTTATTATACAGGGTGTCCCAACATTCATAATCAATCTTTCGAAGACAGATTCACGGGATCATTTGAAGACGATTTTTCCTCAGTGAAAATATCGATGAAGACCATCATTTTTTGCATGTTCCCGATTTTTGTCATCATATATCTTTGCAATTAAGCCTTAAATTAAAACTCAACTAAAGTAAACTCTATTTAAAAGTAATCGAAGAATGTGGTTTTGTTAATATTTTATTTCTACAAAGCTTAGTTTACGAAAAACCCCTTATTTCCAATCACTTATAATTCGAAAATTATTAGTGCCTCGATATTTTCGTTGAGGAAAAATCGTCTTCAGATGATCTCAGGAATCTGTCTTTGAAAGATTGATTATGAGTTTTAGGACACCCTGTATTTCATTTGAAAGTATCTAATATTTATTTTTATCGATATATCTTCTTTCAATGATTTTTTAATCAAAGCCTATGTGTTTTGTAAAAGACATGACCGTTTACTTACTCTTTCCTCTCCATTAACATTGGTAGTTATAATAAGTTCATTAATTTTTTCGATATCTGATATTGGACCTATTGTTACACCAGAACCAGTGCCAACGATGGCTTGGCAACTATTGGTGCACAAATTGTTTCTATTTATTTGAATCCTACAAAGCGATAACATTAACATCAATTTGTTAGGACATGATTACATAATTTAAAAAATAACGTACTTATCTATGGTAAATTGCCATTTTCCTTTGTGAGTAACAGGAACATATGTAAACTCGCCTTTGTAATGAGTAGGATTGGAACCACCCAATATTAATTCACCACTATTTAATGGATCGAATGAGTCTCTGCACAAATTGTATAATTTTATATCATAATATGTATGTATGTGTGTGATAATTAAGATTATATTAAATATAATATACAAATATAAATATTATTTTACATAAAAAAAATTATAATAATATGTAAATGATAAATTTAATTTATGTGTTAATATTAAATAAATAATAATATATATACAAATATAATTATACGTACATATTTATTAAAAACTTTTATTTAGAAACATGTATTGTTCATAAGTAAAGAAGATATGTACCTATTTAGATAATAACTGAAAATGGGTGATGAGACTAGCCCTTGGTTAACTATGTTGTGGAAAACGGATGTATTGAACCTCAGGCCCAAGACACCATCAAATAGTGCCGTTTGAAATAGGTCTCGGTTTGACATATCAGTCACTTCTATAAATGTTTGATTGTCAACATTAAGGCCGGCAATCTATAATAAAATTAATGTTGAAATATATCGTCATCGCTGCACAAGAAAACAATATGATTGCTTAAGAAACGTTTAAACTATGATTATAATTGTAACTCAATTGGATTGTTCCTTTAATGATGACTTACATTCACTCTATCAGTAGATAGAAATCCATGTATACTTAGAATTGGGTATTCTCTATAAACCGAAGTACTATTGACAATATATGTACTGGAATTTCTACTATCGTATCCATTACGGAAATCTGTAAAGCATATTCAGTAATATCACATATTAATAATATTAGAAAAAGTTTCAAAATAGAGATATTGTCTTATTAATCCATAATAAATATATAATTTTTTTATAAATCATTATATATGTATATTTAAATATATTTGTTGAATTAACTCTTGAATTAATTTTTGTTTGTCAAAGCTTGTTTGTATCTTCAGAGAATGATTGTTCAAATTAATTTATGCAAATTCTAAAATATATAATATTTACACTATATAAAATATTAAATATTAAATTTCGTTGTCTTCAACTTTTTAAATATTCCAAGATTATAATTGAAAACATAATGATCATGGATAGAATATATACATATATATATATATATATATATATATATATATATTATTGTTATTGCGTACATGTATATATAAACAAATTACTTACAACAAAATTCAACGTCGCACTTTCGCGATGGTATCCAAAAATCTGAGGTAATAGTGTCAAATATTACATTAAACTTTTTCGGTGGAGTTCCAATGGTAATATTGCCATAGTATTCAGCATAGAGATAATCGGATAAACACGATGAGTCGACATAATCATGTGATAATAAAAGGTTCTTTAAGTAGTTGTCGTTCCTCTCCCAAGCTTTTCGAATGGAGTAAAGTGTCTTGTGCAATGAAATCCTAGAAATAACAGAAAGTTGTTTTACATTTGTACATTTTGTAATACACACGCGCGCGCGCGCGTGCGCGCGTGCATGCGTGTGTGTAAATTTGCAAACATATATGCATAAAAAGAACCTTTACATTTGATATAACTAGCAAATATTTCCAAAATAAACATAAGTTATGTATATATATATATATATATATATATATATATATATATATATATGAAAGTCTACACAAATTTTAACCTCAGAAATCAACTATATACCCAGCAAACACCAAGTAACAGTTATATAACTGTTACTTGGTGTTTGCTGGGTAACTTACATATTTATAATATAAATACATTACGCATTTAAATATAAATTTACCAGAAACGTTTAAATCGATGATTTTTCTAAATTATGTATGATCTTCATATTGCATATACATCTCTAAGGTAATATTTAATTATAAAATTAAAATTGATGACATAGTTTCAAATAAAATCATTGTAACTTAACGAACATTGAGTTTTAGTTAACGAAATACTTTGCATGTAATTTTACACGAAGAGATAATTTAAAAATAAGTAACTGTATCAAGTATTAAAAGAGTAGGATATAGAGAATGTCAAGTAATTAGACATAACATAAAGCAACTCGTTATACCTATATTTGAGCTGCTAATGCATAAAAAAATAGTGAACAATTAGATGTTTTGATCACCTTCAAACAAAATATTTATGTTAATGGTCATCGTTTAAATGTAAATAAAAGCAAAATGGACAAAAGCAAACGTTATGAAAGAACAAAGAGTCACTACGTCAAAAATACTCTTTTTTATCTACTCTTTGATTAATAAATAAACGTTTTGACCAAAGAAATTTCATCCAATTTGTATCGCAGCATCGTATTTGCACAAATCCCGCTTTTAATTCAAGAAATCATATGCTATTATTACGAGAAAAAGAATCAATTTCTATATTCATCTTGATATTTATCATGCCAATATATAATACAATAAAATACTGACCTGTGCAATTTAGCGTCGGATATTATAAAGAGCGCCACCACTACCACAAAAAGGCGAAACATATTTTCCATTTTATTTACAAAAATACTTATTACTGAAGTCTCGATTCGTGAAAATTTGAATGACGAGTTTCTTTCGACACTTTATGACCAGATACACAGAAAAATAAAGTGTTGTCGCTTGTTACTAACACTCCTCTGAATGCTGTATCGGTATTCGAGAGTGTTTATATACATTCGCGTATGCCCCTACGTTGAATCCTTGAACGGGGAGGAAATGCGCGAAACATTCAAAAAACCCTGATAGATTTCCATCGATCAATTTAATTTAAATATATCATATTTTGCATGCTTATATCCTTTAATTAAATTTATTTACACAAATTAACTAATAATAAAAACAATTCTTTTAAAAGTATACATTGTCTACATTGATTAAATAGTCAATCATATATCAACATTAATCTTATAATAAATAATTTTCAAAAAGTAGTAATTAATTAATCGACATTGTTGTATCCCATTTTGTGCGCATAAATTGTATAGTTATAAATCATTTATTTGATGAATTCTTGAAGTCGTTAAAAAGAAAAAAGAATGTATATATATATAATCTTAAATTATATATTTGATCCATTAACTTCATAACTCATATATATCAGTTATATATATCAGTTATATATTTTAAGATTATATATATATATATATATATCCTTTTTTATTATTATTCAAGCAAATATTTAAATTCATAATAGAATTATTTGTCATATGTTTTGATAGAATTTTTGTTTCGACTTTGTATTATTCTTTGAGAATATTCATGGACATTGGCTTTGTAGTTCATATCTACGTTTTCAATGTCCATAGAGGGAGTATCGCTTTCAGGAATCACCTAAAAGCAGGCCCTGACATCTCTCAGTCTTCTCTCTGATAGAAGTCAATCAGAACTTGCGTTGGAAATCAGAATTTCTACTTTTTGCCTATCTAATGTATTGCTTACACACTGCTCATTATCAGCGCGAGTTTTGATTGGCTTTTTGCTTTTTTGTTTTCCGCTTTTCAACCTTGGCAGAAAAGCAGAAGCCAATCAAAACTCGCGCTGATAATAATAAGCAGTATGTGAGAAAGACAAAACGTAAAAACTCTTACTATCAACGCAAGTTTTGATTGGCTTCTGCTTTTTTGCCAAGATCTGAATGCGCCCGTAGGGAACATTCATTAAAAAGGTACTTTATGCTCCGTACAAGAGGTATTTTTTATGTCCATATCGGATACACAGAAATTCGATGATGAAATAATATTTGGATGAATTCAAATACTCGCATGATTAAAATAATTTGTGTAATTATTATCTTCGATGAAGGAAACACAGTCGATAATGTCAATGGTCTTCAATTATCCCCAGAACGATCGAGCTCACGTGATCGCGAAATTTACCCATAGTTGATCGTCTCTAATACTTTTTTATCGGCGATTCAGATCTCAAGATTCAAGCAGTTTCGAGTATTCGGACGCGGGAACTGCCGGCTGAAACAAGGATGAGTGAGAAAGCAGTCAAGAGTGACTGACGATCGCATTGCCATTCACGTCTTTCGCAATTGATACGGTTCAATCAATACGTTTTATAATGATGAATGCAGAAGTAGTCACGATGAAGCATCTACAGTTCCGTTTAAAGATCGATTTGTCCAAGTTTTTCCACGATGCGCGTCAATTTTGCTGGATTTTTGTCGATGGAACGAAGATCCAGCAAATTATTCACATCCAGCATCACATTAGTAAACTTTTCAGCATCACAGAACCGTTTCATTTATTGTTAAATGATACCGAATACTTGCCGCCAACAGAGGATGTGCGTATTCTTAGGGAGAATGAGACGATACAGTTAGTACAGTTTAATTTTTAGTTTGTTTTTATTTATCCTACGATAATAATTATTCGTTTTAATTGATAATTATAACTGATTAGCAATCTCATGAATTGCAGAGTAATTCCTGGATCAGGTATAAAAATTGAAGTTGATAAAGCAGAAACAACATGCAATGGTTCTATGCATGATAAAAAGATGCATACAAAAACAGGAATAGATGTATCTGATATGTTAGATGTATCCAATAATGTTTCGAGCGACATGCAACCAACTTCCATAAGTTAGTTTCATTTATACATTATGTAACATGAAAATGAGGGTGAAATAAAATGAATAATTTTATTTTGTAACAATTACTGGTTATTTGCATTTATTTCAGATAATGTTACAGAAAATATGACATTCTATAGTGTAATTGATGATACAATGATTGATGATACAGAAGAAGAAACAGACTCTAAAGTTACGGATAACAATTTAACAGAGGACTGTAATATGACAGACTCGATTGTATCTATTGCAAAGAGAAAGCGAGTACGAAGACGAAGACCAAAAAACCAAATTAAAACTTCATTTATATTATCTTCTGATATGAATGAAGAAAACAAACAAAAAAAACCAAAAATTATAGATTCTTATATTATTCCATCTGGAAAGCATATACGGTTTGATAATATAGAAAAGGATGAGAATACAGAAAAGGAAGACACTACAGAAAAGAAAGAGAATATAGAAAAGAAAGAGACTACAGAAATGGAAGAACACAATATTGCGAAACAAATAGTACAAGAAATATCCAGAAATGAATCTTACATAAGCAAAACTTCATCCTCTAGAGATTTGTCTACACTTTTAGCATTAGGACAAAGTTCAACGCCAATTACATTTATAAACAAGAAAGCGAAAACCGAAGTTAAGATGGAAAATAAATCAAATGATGGGTCCATGATAGATAGATGCTCAAATTTGAGTCAATTTCTTATGAAGAATATTAAAAGTAAGATACAAAATTATGAAAACTTAATACATAGCGATCTAGAAGTAATGCCAATTATGACTAGAAAACCACAAGTTAAAGACATCATTGCTTTCAAGGTATATAATATATTAAATATTGTAATTTAAATATAAAATTAATAATTGTATCTTTTTTATTAAATAACATTTAATTTTAGACTTTGAAGATTGGTACTGATTACACACCTCAAGTATCTAATTTTATTATAACTGAGGTAATAGGTTCTTGTGCAAACTTTACAAGATATCATTTAAAAATAATCAGTAAGTAATGTATATTTGATTTTATTTATAGTAAAAATAATTGAATGATATAATAGTTAGAAAATGTAACATAGAATTAGAGACTTTTATATAAAATGTTATTTACAGAAGGCAAAGAGGAAATTAAAGCGCCATGTGGGAAATTCTCTCTTTCGGAAGATGTATCTGCTGGTGATGATATGGATACGTTTTTTCTTAGTTATTCGCAGATGCAAGAACCTCGTTTACTTTCTTCTAAATCTTCTATTTTATAAATACTTGTTCCTATAGTTTAATTTCGTTTTACTTAAAATGCAACTAGTGTAGTGCATTTATGTTTAGTCTGTTTAATTAACATATAATTTTTTTCTGTTTTTATTAAGTATTGAACTTGATTGCTACTATGTTGCAATTTAATATTTTTAGCATTTATATTGAGAGAGATATAATTTAATTTTATAATTAATAATAAATTGTGATACAATATATGTTTATTTAAATTATATATACTTTTTTCATACATAAAATAGAATTAGTATATATATAGTATTTAAATTTAATAAGAAATTTCTTTTTTATTTGTAAGTTTTTATATCTCAGGGAGAAAAAAAAATATATAAATGGATATTGATTTAATTATCATATATCTATCATATATGAGAGAGAAAGATAATATTTATGTAGATATACATAAATATAATAAATAAATCATTCTATAAATAATTTCTATAAATTCTGGATTTTTTGAATTTCACATGAAGATGTATTTCAATAAGAAACTATCGTACAGTTGGCTACTAGAAAAATTTGCGGGTTTTTTGAAGTTGTCTATTCGATAGCCAATTGCGGTAGCTATGTATCTATATTTTCTTATTACGCGTGTGTAAAATTTCTATAATTTACAAGATAAGAGTACATTAGTTCTCTCTTGATCAAATTATCTTATTATTATCGAATTATTGCAACTGAAATTCCACATATATGAAATCAGAAATTATGTGCGGAATCTTCGATATTTATTAAATTGGCAAGAATGCTGTGGGTTATATGTAGCATAACATGCGCATGCGCATAATTTTCTTTCTGATTATCTTGCCGCGCTTGCACAACATCGAGGTGAAGTCAAATTCGTACTGCGTCACATCTTTTCTGAAAGTAAATCGCGAGTGGGAAAAAAATTATATATCGCAAGTGTTTCAAAAGTACTCAGTGAAATATTGTAGTTTATCATTAATTTTATTTTAAAAATTGTAATTATAGTAAAGTATCTTTTCGATGTACTGTGTTATATTCTCACGAATTTGGAACGATCCTTAACCAGGAGTTAGCTTTTCAACAAATCTGATGAAGCAACGATTAGTGAGTAAATTTATTTTATATACTAATAAAATTTATTTTATTATACTTGTGCGGTATACATATTATTTAAAGAATTTAAAACGCTCAATAGATTAAGAACAATATGTAGCAAAGTTTTTAAATGACTAACCTAGAAGAGAAAAAAATTTTAATAGAGATCTATTATATTCTTTTTTGCAAGTTTTTCACACATTAAAGATATATGAAAATTTTTTAGTATCATAATCGATATATATTTAGCATAATCCTGTTGAAAACAAAAGGTTATCATAATTAGTTTAAATAAACTATAATTAAAGCAAATAAAAGCACATTTTATTTTGAATTTTAGTTTGAATAGTCTCATATTACGAAAGTGTAGAGTAGAAAGTGAGAGTCTAGTATGTGAGAGAGAGAACAAATAAAAAAGATTTAAAATAAATGATTAATTTAATGAAATTTTCTGCATAAAATAACATATGGTTGTGCGGAAGTTGTAGTTCACGGTTGACATTCTTCCTGAGAAACATGCAAAGCGCGAAGAAACCAGGTATGAGATATCGTTTTATCTTTGTTGCAATATGTCTCCGCAACTGTTGGTGCCGGCGCGTATAACACCTTGTTTTGGTTACTCGGCCATGAATAATTCAAGAATTAAAGCGCGAGAGTAAATGTACGCCTCCGACGCTTGGTGGATTAGCTTTGCTAGTGTAAAGGATTTTAATTCGCGAAATTCAAAGGGGAATTATTCATAATATTCGTAGTTAAACAATCAGCGGAACACTGTATTAAATGCGTAATACATGCCCGCTACCATTGGGTTTTTCTTATTTTGAAAGCACATACTTTTCGTGCCCTCTATTTGACAAGATTGCTTGTTAAAATTAAAGCTTGAATAACATTTGAATCTGCTTTTGCTTCACAATCAACTATTTCAATATTTATAAAGTGTTGAAAAATTATTTAAAATTATCGATAATAATTAGTTTGTAGTCAGACTAAAAGTGAATTACAGTATTTTTCAATCAAATTGTTTGCACGTTGTCTGACTGCTACATCATCAAATCGATGGATCCCAATCATTATGCACGTTGCAATTAATGGCATTCATTCTTTCGATCAAACGTCAATTAGAGCTCTCTTCACATATTAATTATTTGCACACTAGGAATACTCGGAGAAAATCTCGTTATACATGGACCTATTTTCCAAGGGATTCTTTTATAGATTTTAATGTAAAATCACATATTATGTAGAGTATATTTAGCGAATTTAATTGCGTAGAATAAATATGATTTGTTGAAAATATGACAACAGTAAATTTATACAATATATTTTGTATAATTCAGCAATTTTGATGGAAATTACTTTCTAGAAAATACGAGCTGGAAAATTAGAGGAAAAAAATTTTGAAAATACTAAATTAAAAAATAATTAAATTTAAAAATTTTAAAGAATAGAATATATGAAAATTTTATTATGAAAAATATTCATTAGAATATTATTATTTGCCTCGCATGATAATTGAAAATAAATGTAATAATATACAGATAGATTATAAATTATTAATAATACGTATATTTATTCTATTATATTTATATCTATCCTAAATGTTCTCTTAATAATTATGTTTAAGTGACTGTTATATAAATCATAAGACGTTTCCAGTATTTCATGAACAAGGTATTAATAATTTAATATAAAAAGCGATATAAAAATTGTAAGTATAAGGAAAGTAGAGGAATTAAATCTTTAATAAGTTACGGTAAAACTGATTAAGGTAATCTATAATAATTAGCAATCCATAATTATTTACTTTCATTTTGACTTTACAGACTTTAAAAACTTTTCACTCTGACTTTATAGAACGTTTTTATGAGTTTTTTATGAGTTTTTTATAATAAGCAATCTACTTTGCCTACAGCATCAAATATTCTGCGGTCTTTCGTTATAATACTATATGTATATGTGAAATTTATTCTGAAAAATTATTTGATTTTTGTTATCGGCTTTCGATACTGTTATAATTTTTTCGATAATTAACTTTTATAAATGAACTTTATGTAAATATTAATTAACTTTAACGCGAATAAAATGAATTTGATATTTATTCCCTAAAATCTATCTTTTAAAATTACGAATATCTCACGGATACATAAGTTATTAAATTTGCAGATGGAAGAGCGCTTCAATCAAATCGTAAATTATAATTTGTTTTAAATATAATGCAATTTTTATTTTTAAGATTATAAACTTGTGCTTTTTCACAATACTAAAAAAAAAAACGAAAAGCAACGCGTTTATGAATATTATATTTTACAGTGTATATCGATATAAGTATAAATATGAGTATATAAATAAAACCTTCGAGATTTCAGTGTGTCTCTGAAACTTTTATGGGAATCTCTTGTTTTCTTGTTACATAACTTTCAGCGTCAAAAGTGATCGTTTCAAGTGAAAAATGTAGATCGTTTAAGTAGAATGAATACGCATATGGCAGATTTTCTTTCATCCGTTTCTATTGTAATAATTTACAAGAATTTTTTTCCTGTATATATTACATATTTTCCATAGAAACGACGTAAATTCGCGGATTTCAAATAAACTCCTTTAACTGTTGTTAAAGCTACAATTGATGTCTAAACCAGTAGCGTTAAAACTCGACGTGCAATCACGTGCACCTTGTTTATGTAATCGCAGTTACCCTATTCCCATTGAGTAGATCCCATGGCGATCGATTATTTCAGGACGAACATTGAGACTTTGAAACTGTAATCTCTCAGTTGTTCACGGTGATTACTCCTTCTTGCTGAGCGGTAATCTTATTGCATAAATTTTCACACAAAGATATATTACTCGTGCGAAAGTTTAAGCAGTAATAATCGAGCATGCATAAATTTTAAGTAATTTGTGTTTTAAAAACAAGGGCGGAGTGAGATAAAGTAAGACGTTATAAAAATGCCGACAATAAACCGGAACAGAATGAGCCATTCGCTGTAGCAAGTATTGATTTAAAAGCTATTGACAATCCCAATACACTTGGATATGCTATTTGTGACGTTCGACGAAACTTTTCTACTTTCCTATGGTGAATGTATACAATCCAATTTCTACTGTTGGAAGTTACGAATGTTTCGACACGTAAAAATATATACATAAAGTTTAACTTACTCATATACAATTCTTTTCTGAAAGAGTACTTAACATAGTTATGGCATTATATAAGTCTGATCAAAAGTTTAGGAGAATTAATATATATGGATATATTTTTTCTCTTGTGCAATCAAATTTTTGAAAGATTTTATTAAATTAAAAAAATTATTGAATGCCTTCATGTTTCATTTTTAATAAAGCAGAGTTAAAAGTTCTAAAAGAGAAGCATGAAATCTCTTTCTTCTCTATAAATAATAAAAATCAGCTTAAACAAATACATACAATAAAATATAAATATAGAGAATAACGAGTAATAAATGTGCAAATAGTTTATAAAAATTCTACACACACATAATTAATTATATGTATTTTATTATAGTAATAACAATGAAAAATTTTTTAAATTTTGTTCTGATATTAATTGATAATTAAATATATTTACTACTTATATACTTTCATGTATAATATATGTATAATATATGTATGTGACGCACATTTCATCACAAACTTGATTTTTCTTGATTGTATCCAGTAGAGAGACTAAACTATCGTTGTAAACTATCGTTCTGTTTTGATCGCCAGGTCCATCGAATTTCGGATATAAAAAGAAACTGTCCGAAGATGAACAGTAAATCACCGATCATTCGTTGAATTGGGAAACTTATCGTTTACTATTGAGGTCTTTGCGATCTAGGGCCGAGCAATCGAGCGAACAAACGTGGTGTATCCATCTCGTATCCGATAATAATTCACGCCCTTTCGTGTCCAGTAATATGAGGGATCTGTCGGGTGCGTGCACACTGAGATACGCATATATATGTACATATCTACTCACAACACACCTCGATAAATTTACGTGTTGACGATGGTGTGAATGCGTGGATGTACAATATACATACGACTGTGGAATAACGGATTTATGATGCATAGTGTGC